CGTTTAATAATTTGTCAACATTGAAAATGACCCGATCGGCGTCGAAACGTTTGTGTGTTTTTTTATCTCTTAAAATGTAACTTTCCTTTAATATATTACTTCGTTTTTCCAAAACCTTGTTTTTGTTATATTGGCTCGTTGCCCTACTGATCTTGTTTATATATATATAGGTATATGTGGGAAGTCGAATCCAATTTCGAACAGCCCGCGAACACAGAGCGGGGAATTGCTCGAGAAGACACAGCCGATACCGACGGGGCGAAGGAAGAAGGTGGCGCTAAAGGAGAGAGGAGGGAGAGACGTTCGGCGCGCTTGCAAGAAAGTAGGGTAGCTGTATCTGAATCGTAGAATATAGTTTTGATATCTTTTAACAAAGCAGTGACGTGGTGCTTCGACCCTTCCAGAACCATCCTGAGTCCGCATAGTAATTCCCACATATATATCGATAAAAGTATATGTTATGAACATGGGGGGTAGCGTTTATAATGTTAAAATTATAGCCCATGCGCACAGCCAACAATATGGCGATCGGTTAGCACTCAGATCGAAGGTGCCGACACAGAGTAGATCTACTGTTCCTACTTATACTGTGCTTTGATTATCAGTATCAAAAAGTTATCATATGACAACACAGATTCATTCACTTTTAGTGAGTTTACGAAACTCACTAAAGCATACGGTCTCAATCTTGTGCAGATTATAAGCAAAAACTCAGTTAAATCTCATTTATCAGAAAGCAGAAGGAACATGCATTCACAACTGAGTTATGACGTCACAAGTGAGAATTATCTGAGAATCTATGTAAATGGAAAGCAACTAATATAAAAAAATAACATATTTTTCTCCCTCTACAATTAGTTACAACACTGAAATTACATTTCAAAATTAATATTACACAATTTTAGTAATTTAAAGAGTCATTTCCTGGAAAACTTTATTTTTTGATGTTGTATCATGGTTGTAACAAATGACCAATATGTTGGTTTGTTACCAAAATATGACACTAGTGAAAATTTTTCTCAGAATTTTTGTACAAATTGAAACACTTTTCTACTGAGAAAGTAACATCTTTTCTTGAAATTTTTCGTGTATGTAGATAAATACTCAAATATTATAAGGTTTTTCATACTATAATTTCGGAAAAAAAATATTTTGAATTTATTTAGATTTTATCAGATTTTATCAAAAACTTTAGAACGAAAAATCTTAAAATATTTCAGTATTCACATACAGAATTCTAGAAAAGATGTGGATTTCTGAAGTGCTCCAATTTGTATTAAAAATATGGAAGAAAAAGAGCATAAAACCACGGCACAAGTCGTTTTCTGTGATATTTAATATATTCAAGTTTCTAAATTATACGTTTCGGCCAATGTCTGGTCATCTTCAGTAATTACAATATTAATAACGCATTGGATACATAAATATAAATACAAAATTCGCAGTCATATATCTATTTAGTTAAAATTACAAACTTATCAGCATTATTCGTGAGCATATATTCCATAATTGATGAAAAATTTTTTGGAATTGTTTCAAATTGTGTATATAACGAGAATTTCCAGATTCTAATATAAAACAATATGTTACAATTAATATCTTCTGATCTAATTATAAGGAGTTCCAATTCATTACCTGTTTTTTCCGCAATTCGTTAACAATTGTATCTCATCGTAGGAACTTTGACAAACAAAATGGAATATCATCGTGAATATTCATCTCTGATAACCCTGACATTCTAATCACCAGAGCGGATAAAGACAATACAACGGTAATAATGAATTGGGAGAATTACAAAAACAAAATGAATAAAATTCTTACAGACCAGAGTACTTATACGGTTGTTAATAAGGATTTATTCCACTAATAAAATAACAACCGAAATACGCAGTTTATTAACCAAATGAAAAAATAAGGGTTACATAGACCAATATACCTATAAAAAACTGTATGTATCGGACGGAGTACTCTCGAGATGTTATGGATTGCCAAAAATTCACAAAGAAAGGCACCCTGTTAGAATGATTGTCAGCTGCATAAATAGTGCTTTTTATCCATTAGCTACTTTTTTTAAAAACATGATAGAAGAGGGTAATAAGATGAATTTTAGCTATATAAAAAACAGTTTTAAAGTATCTGAAAAACTCAATGGATTTGCATTAATAACAATTTTAGCATTATATCTTTTGACGTTGTATCGATGTATACTAACATTCCTACTTAGTTATCAAAAGTATAGAACGAAGATGGAACTTCATCAGAAATAAGACTACCCACTCAAGAGTTTTTAAGAGCAATTTCAATCATTATTAATTCTACATTTTTAAATTTGACAATAAAATTTTTTAACAGATTTTTGGCATGCCCATTGGTTTCCACTTTCTCCTATTTTGGTTAACATTGTGTTGCAGGATTTAGAACATGATGTTCTTACGACTAATGATTTTGTGACTTCTTTTTATTTCCAATACGTCGATAACATTGTATTGTCTGTACAAAGTGATAAAGTTGAATCTACTCTTGAATTATTTAATACTTATCTCGAAAGGATTAAATTTATGGTAGATTATGATGAGAATGGCATAAAATTTTTTAGATGGAAAATTGATGAAGCAGGATGAAAAAATCATTCTTGATACGTACAAAAAACCAACGGAGTCAAGGAGATATTTAAATTTCTATTCCAATCATCCAATAGTGCATAAGAGAGGAGTAATCATTGGGCAGTTTAACAGAATATTAAATTTATCGTATCCGAAATTTCACGAAAAAAATATCACAAACTTAATTCACACTTTATTAACGAATGGTTATCCTTTAGATTTCATTTTTTCAACTATTCATAAATAGAATTAAAACCTTAGAAAATAGAATTAATACTAATAATAATAACGACGATAACGACATGGCAAAAAAGTTTCATTGTTCCATATTTAAACAATGTATCTGAAAAATTTAAAAAGATAGCACATAGTAATGGGTTTAGGCTGCGGTCCACTTGCTTCTTTCAAATGCTCTTAACGTTACGCTCCAAACGTTACGCTCCAAACGCTACGCTCCGATTGGTCCATTACTATTTCGAATGCTACAATTGCTACGTGAACGCTCCAGCCAACCCACCTCCCGAGGTGAGGCAGTTGAAGCGAAGTGGGAGCAAAAACGATGACGTATTGATGACGTAATCAGAGTTGCTGGGAGCGTTCCGAAGCATCAAATGGACCAGTCATATCAGTGCTACAAATGCTCTGTAGCGTTTGAAGCGCTAAGTGGACCGCAGCCTTAATCATGATAAAAAGACAAGGGTATGCTCATGCGCATGACCAATCAGATTTTTATCCTTGCTTACGTCACAACGAGTGGCTTACGCCACTGTTCAGCAATTTCAAATTGTTTTGGAAAGGTAAAATATTTAATTTTACTTCCCTCAGTTTTTTTTGTTTTTTTCATATAACTGCCGCATTCTTTCACTATGCAGGTCATCGTGAAAATATCTTTAACATTAACTTCTACCGATGACAACGTGCACTACGCCATGGACGCCATGATAAATTATGACCGATAACCACCGATTGCACCCGAATCAGAACCGACCAATCAACGCGTACCCGGATATGACGTAGGCAAGGACATGCGCAAGCTGAACGAGTTTTAGACAATTGATGAGCATACCCTTGTATTTTTATCATGGGTTTAATATTGCATATAAACCAATAAATGAATAGATTCATAAAAATTGGTAAAGATCGTTTATGCAAAGATGATCAATGTGATGTAATGTACAAGATAAATTGTTTGGATTGTGAATCTTCTTATGTCGGTCAAACAAAAAGAAAACTTAAAACACGAATTAAAGAACATAGGGACATAAGGAAATCCACTGATGCAATGTTAGTTGTCTCGCTCCACCAGGTTAATAATAAGCATGAATTAGATTGGGAAAATGTTAGCATTTTTTAGACATAGAACAATCTCTATATAAACGAAGAATATCAGAAATGATACATATAAAAAGTCAAACGAGAAGTATAAATAACCAAAGCAATACTGAAGGATTGCCCGATGTTTATCTGCCTCTGTTAAAGTGTTGATCTTTCTCTCTCTCTCTGTCTCTCTAAAGAATTGTTCTAGAAATTTTATTCCATTTTGTTTGTCAAAGTTCCTACGATGAGGTACAATTGTCAACGAATTGTGGAAAAAACAGGTAATGAATTGGAACTCCTTAATAATTAGATCAGAAGATATTAATTGTAACGTATTGTTTTATATTAGAATCTGGAAATTGTTATACACAATTCGAAACAGTTCCAAAAAATTTTTCATTAACTATGGAATATATGCTCACGAATAATGCTGATAAGAGCTTGTAATTTTAACTAAATAGATATATGATTGCGAATTTTGTATTTATATTTATGAATCCAATTCGTTATTAATGTTGTAATTACTGAAGATGGCCAGATATTGGCCAAAACGTATAATTTAGAAACTTGAATATATCAAGTATCACAAAAAACAACTTGTGCCATAGTTTTGTGTTCTTTTTGTGTTCTTCCATATTTTTGATTATAAACCACTTTCTTATTGATTATATTTGTATTAAAAAATCTATATTTGTACTAAAAAATTTTTTTAAAGTTACAAAATTATTCAAATATTCTAAAAAAATTTTTTATTTACATAAAAACTTTGAAAAATTATATGAAAAATTCTAAGAAAAATTTTTACCAGGAGAGCGACATAAAGGAGAGAATTTCATCAAAACGAAAATTGTGTGACTGAAAGTTGTGTTCAAATTCAATTATTGATTTACTAATAATTGAATTACTAATTTATTAATAAACCTACTTGACTTTTCTTTCCTCTGCTTTTCCAGGTTTGGTACGCTGGGCCCTATCACCCATACGAGTACCATCCAATTTTCCCACAAGAGACATAACCTCACCGGTAGCTTCATCTCGGCTACGTCTTTCTATTAACCGGACATCAGCTTGTAAAACGAGATTGGAATTCTGTAAATGTTAACGCAATATAATACAACAAAATCGTATCGCAAATATAACACAGCGTAAATGTAATGTCATAAATATCATAAAGTTGCACATTAAAAGTTGCACATTATAAAAAAGTTAGCATAGTAAAATAATTAAAGACAACTGTTATGTCATCATTAAAAAATAAACAATTAAAATGAGAAGTACAAACCGCTTTATACTCGTATTGTAATTGACGTGCAGCAGCATCCGCCATGATTTGTTTATTAGGTGCATTCAGTACTTAAAACATATACTACTGGGCTGCGTTCAGAAACTTCACCTTGCATTGCAGGTGATTGCTAGGAGTCTGTGTGAGTGAAATGGTAGGGATAAGGTACCCTCTCTGGGGCTCTATTCTTGAAAAGAAACATATACGAAAGTCTAGGGAAATACTATAGTATACGTAATGTATACTGTAGCATTTCCCTAGATTTTCGTATACGTTTCTTTTCAAGAATAGAGCCCCTGGTGTGTACATTTCTGAACAACTTATGGTTACTGCACACTGGACGCGATGAACGATGAGCGACGAGCGATATCCAATGAGAGGTTTGCTTTGCGTTGTCACGTGAGAAAAAACAGAGTTTTTATTGGATATCGCTCGTCGCTCATCGCTCATCGCGTCCAGTGTGCAG